CCCAGCCCCATCTGTTTTCCCCAGCGGTGAGATGATTATATTGTATGGTACTGGGGGCGGCCGCAGCCGCAGGATGGGGCGAGCGCGCGGACCCCGTCGGCAGCCGGAGCAGCAGCCACCTCAGTAACTCGGGCCCTCGAGCCGCCGCCCCCCGCCCGGGTCGCCCGCCCTCAGCTCATGCACTCGCCGAGCGGCGGCAGCAGCGGGAGTAGCAGCCGCCGCCGCCGCCACCCCCGCCCGAGGAGCTAAGGCGCTGCGCCGCGGCGGGAGTCCGAGGCGGGCGGGCGAGCGGTGCGCGGGCAGCGTGGGGCCGCCGAGGCGCGCTTGGGGTTCGGGGCCGCAGCCACCGCCGCGCCTGGGAGATGTGCCCGGAGGAGGGCGGCGCGGCCGGGCTGGGCGAGCTCCGCTCCTGGTGGGAAGTCCCGGCCATCGCGCACTTCTGCTCGCTCTTTCGCACCGCGTTCCGCCTGCCTGACTTTGAGATCGAGGTGAGTGGCCGCGAGGAGCGGGCGAGGTGGCGCACCCCGCGTCCCTTTCTCCCCTGCCCCCTCGGGAGTCCCGAAACACCGTGCGGGAGGGAGCGGGGCACGCGGAGACTTTGGCCGGTAGTCCGCAAACGGAGGAAGGGCTCGGAGGTGGGGGCACGAGGCGCGCCAGGGCCGGAGCGCGGCCGGGGGCCGCGCCAGGCTCCCCAGGGGACGCCAAGTGCCGGCGTCCGGGCTCGGGACGTTCGCTCGTGGCCGCCGTGCCCACCCGCGCCTTCCGGGATTTGGCGAAGCGGGCGGCGAGGGGGCGGGGGCGGAGTGCGCTTTTGTGGGAGCGGGACCCGGTCGGCTCTCCCGGGACTTCTCGGGCTGGAGGCTGAGTGTGTGGGGAGAGTGCGTGCGCGCGCTCCCTGCCCGGTGCCATTGAAGCGGCGAGCCAGCTGCTCCGGGCGGGGACGGGGTTGCGGGCTGGATTAACTCCGACCGGGCGGGGAGGCGGCCTGCGGTCGGTTGGGGGAGGGGTCTGTCGTGCCGGGGAGAGGCTCGCCCTCACTTCGGCGGGCGCGTGGAGGGGCAGTCGCACTTTGCAGACTGCCGGAGGCCCGCGACTCTCGGGGCGCTTTGGGTTAACTTCGGGCAGGCGGAGATGGGGGCCCGGGCTCGGGGGCGCGCTCTCCTCCGGGGAGCCGCCCGGCGCTCAGCCCTTGCCCAGAGCTCCGAGGCTGCGGAGAGAAAGTTTAGGACTCCGTTATTCTTTAACAGCGCCTTTCCTTTTGGAGCATACAGCCCTCTTTATTCGCGGACCTCGGGAGCTCTTTGAGTTGATTTCGCCACCATTATCCCTCCAGGCAGGCGTGGAGTAAAGGGATGGCTTTTCTGGCCAGGCCGAAGGTGCTTTCAAACCCGAGGCTTTGTGATAACCGGACTAAAATCAGGCGGTCCTAGTAGCAGGGATGGTGGCGGGAGTGTGAGGAATGGAATGTATTCGATGGCCCCGACGAGCAACTAGCCCTAGCAGCATCCATCCTTCTTTCTTTTATTTTTATTTTTGGAAGGGGGTGTGAATATTTGATTGGTTAGCAGGTTGAATTGCCTGTCCTCCTATGGCAGTATATATGTATTCACTTAATCACCTTTAGCCTTGGACAAAGGTAAATGGAAACTGTTGGTCAGTTTTTCTTTTCAGCTCTGCCAATGAGTTCGCCAATGGAGTAATCAAAATAAGAATTAACTCTTTAGGAAGAGCAAATCGTTGTTGCCTCCCCACCCCCACCTATCCTACTTTCTGCCATTTTCAGATTGATTTTAATTCGTTTAATCTTGAGGATTTTTGCCTTACCTTTATTTTTAGATTCAGTGTTGTTTGCGGAAATATCATTTGCTTCTCATATGAATGAAGTGTTGGGACTTGCTCTTGTTGCAGAGTTAATGAAATTGGAAAATAAAAAGATCAAAAGGGGTACGGTGGGAGAATGAAGCGGAATGTGGGCTGATAAACTAGGACCGCTCACTGGCTTTTGGCGATTCTTAGTTCCCGAAGCTAATTAAAACAATGTGATTAAATCGTAGGCTTCTGTTTTTAGGAAGATGTAATAACTTGGGCATTTTAGATAGCATCATAGCGTTTGTTTTCAAAGTTTGAACGTTATTGTAGCAAGCATGACTTTCACTAAAAATTTTAGTAGGGTTAAGTGTTTGAAGAAGAGAAACAAGGCCACAAAAATGAAGGATTTGGGAATGCTTAAAGTCCAGAGATGTTTAACAGTTATTCTGATAATCATGTTTTCTTTTACTTGGCATAAAATCGTGAGTAGTTTAATTACATCCTGCTGCTCAAAATGGTGGCTGTCGTGGAAGGTGTTGCTTGTGACCGACTGTGCCATCTTGGGTGCTGGCAAACTTGCCCCATAGACCATTTTCTTCCTTGCAAGATAATAAAATTGAGGTGATGTTGAATTACAAGTTTAAAGCTTAAGGGCCCAGTCTAAAACTACTGTGGGAAAATTCATCTTTCAGAATCCATATAGTCCCATTTTGTTGATGGAAAAATAGAGGTAACTAATTTTGCCTTAAATTGTTGTGGATATCTAGAGTAATCTATAAATAACTTGTTTTATATTCTAAGAAATAAACTTATGGATTCTAAGTATTAGCTGGTATAATTCGTAAAGGAAATGTAAGCTGACCAAAGAGGTCAAATTTGTGTGTTTAATAGAAATGAAAAATCATTGTTATAGGGGAATAATTTGGGCTCTTTTAAATGACTGTCTTTTCTTTTGATTGGAGAGGTTCTTGGAAGTGACACTATTGTTTTTGAAGTGCATGCTGTGTGAAATACATGAAACACGAATGAATGTTTGAAATCTATATACACGTTTTTTAGAACTATCCATATCTGTTTTTATTAGATGTTCAGTAGATGGATAACAAATGATAGGGACTTTTAACCTCTGCAGTTCTTGTGTAATTCTCTCATGTAAGGTATGTTTTGATACAGTTAATGCAAATGGTGATTTAAAGTTTTCAGCAGTTATCAGAAATAAAATTAGCCTTTTTTTTTTTTTTTGGCTTCTAACAAATTTGACTCAGTAATGGTGCAGAACTCACTGAAAACATCAATTTTAGTTCAAGTGTAAAGCAAATTTATTATTTTTCTTAGATGATTTTTTAATTTAACAGTTGATTGTCCTGACGGTTTAAGAAACAACCCCTTCGTTAGAGTGTATGATGTAATGGAAGGCCCTTAAAACAAGCAGACAAAAAACCAATTCTGATGCTGAGTCGTACCTGTTAGGCCAACTGAAAAGGCCCTACCATCTTTAATTTACTGTAGCTTTAAAAGGTAAAAATGATGAATAATACCAAGTGGTAGAAATTGTACATCAGCTTTTTTAGGAAATCAGTTTTCAGCTATGGGGAAAGATCTTGTTTTACCCTTGACCACTAAGCTGAACTAGATTTATAGAAACTTTAGGTAGTAGAATTAGAATCCTCAAGGACTTGGCTTCTATTTACCTAGAGTGAAGTAATCTCTTAGATAGGTGAAGGGCTGGGAGGATTCATGATGCAATTCTGCAACCTCCCACTCATAGAACCGGTCCCCAAAACATGGATAGTTTTATTTTTGCTTATAAAAAAGTCCTTTTACTCTGTTAATCAACCTTGAATGTACAGGGATTCTGTAATCATCAGATGGAAAATCTGTGAATGTATGGATAATGTTTCAAGTTCAAAATTTCTGGTGTTAAAAATAATGCAGATATTACATAAAACTTGAAAATTATAGCACACTGTAGGTAAGAGAATTAAAATCACCCATAATTCCTCCACTCAGAGATAAAAGCTGTTAACTGTTAACTTTGTATCCCTCCACTCAGGGATAAATGCTATTAATTGTTAACATATTTAGAAATTCCCAAATATGCTCACAATGTATTTGTGCCTTAGATTAGGTATTTTTATTTTTCAGATGAAGAGATTGAGGTAAGCTGGGCAACAATAGGTTAATGACACTGAATTCTGTAGTTGGTGTTACGGAAGCACACCTACTACTAGGTGCTTAACTTAGAACTGGGAGATTGCCAAAGAAGCTCCTAACTCACCTCCTTTGCATCAGAAGATTATCTGTTAATAGTTCAGAACCACTTCATTTAAATCAAGTATTTTACAATTGTTTAGCATTCCAGTGGGTTAGGTTGGTTAAGTTTTGTCTTGATTTGAGAAATGAAGAATTGTGACTTGACCATTTAATGATAATTTAAAGCTAATTTTTTTCTTCCCTACCAGGTGTTCTTTATGGTGACTATAGGGGTCTTGATCAAAGTAAGGGAAGGGAATATAGAATCATTTTCAACAGTTTGGTCTGGAGTTAATAGTGATGGGTGTGGGGTTGGGGGCGAAAATCCCATCACAAACATTTTGGGAATATTTTCCTCTAGAGAAGAGAGCATGGTGCCTCTAGGTGGCTCTTTGAAAATGGGCATGTAGAATTATCTGAATGGTTTGTATATTAGCAACATGGTAAAAATAATCTGTTTGTCCCATCTACTTTTTCCCTGAGCTGCTTGCTGTTGAGTACAGAAGCCTTTGCCTTCTTTGGTTGTATGATAGATAAAGTCCCTCACCTAATGGGCATGATGACCTGGGGTCACTATCTTTAATTCAGATTCCTGAGTTCCACTCTTCGTGTTTCCTTAATCAAGGGCACCATGGCATGAATTATTTTTATTTTTTTAAATTTCTTATATTTTTAAGTAATCTCTACACCCAACGAGGGGCTTGAACTTGGGACTGTCAAAAAACGAGAGTCGCGTGCTCTACTGAGCCAGGCAGGCTCCCCAAGGCATAAATTATTATTAAGCATAGAAAATAAATAATTAGAATTGCTGAGAGTAACTTATTAGTATAAACCAGTCATATCAGCAGTTCCTTAAGCCTGGGCCCATCGTTGGGCTACAGGAGATTTTGTGTTGGTATACATATGTGTACTTTGCTGGAGGAGAAGGCCTGTCACTTTCATCAAATTCTGAAAGAGGTCCCCAACCATACAAAGGTTGAAAAGCCCTGAACTAGATGAAAGAATAAGTAAACCTTGAATAAGGGAGCCAGAAACCTAGTTTTAGGACATAAGATGCCTTGCACTAGGAGTTAGAAACTTGAATTCTTACTCTAATGGTGCCACTTACTAGCTTTTTGACCTTGGGCAGGTCAGAATAGCTTAATGATAAATGACACTTATATACTACTTGGTACATTTTCTAAATGTTTTTTCACTTATTTATTTTAGTAAGCTCTACACCCAACCTATAGTTTGGACTCACAACCCTGAAATCAGCAGTCACATGCTTTACCAACTGAGTCAGCCAGCTGCCTTCAAATGTTCTCATTTAATCCTTGGCTTGCTTGCTTGCTTGCTTTTTTTATTAAAAAAAAACAACAACTTTTTTTTAATGTTTTCATTTATTTTTGGGAGAGAGACTGAGCACGAGCAGGGGAGGGGCAGA